GAAGAGTGTTGAATATACCATGGACTGCTAGGAGAACAAACAGGTTTGTCCTGGAGAGGGTGAAGCCAGAATGTTCCCTGGAGTCAAGGATTTTGAAGCTTCGTCTGACATATTTTGGGCATGTTGCAAGGAGGGACAGGTCCTTGGAGAGGTACATCATGTTTGGCAGAGTGGAGGGGCGGTGAAGGAGAGGAAGACCTTTGATGAGATGGATCGATTCTCTGACTACAGAGGTGGGGAATAAGCATGTTTGAGATGGTTAGGTTGGCACTGGATAGAAGAGCGTATAGAGCTCTTGTACATAGGGTCGCTATGAGTCTCAAGCGACTCAGTGGCACCTAACAACAACAACAAAACCACCACTAAAACACATGGGTAATGGGTAAACATTGCTCACTCTCACTTCTCAAAGGGGTCTGTTCTATTTAATTTAATAAGTCAAACTTCATACCCTGATTCTCCTTACCTTTCTCTACTTTTTCTTTTATCCCAAAGTATTTATCACTTTCTAACATACTAGATATTTTGTGTATTGTACAAATTTTCTATGGCCCTTTACCAGGCAATAAGCTCTAGTAGAGATCTATGGATGTTTTGTTCACTGATATGCCCCTAATTTTCTGAAGAGTGACTAGTATACAATAGACACTGGCTCCTTTTTCCTTTCTCCTCTATAACTGTGTGCAAGAATAACTGGTTTAACCATTGTCACATTCAACTCCTAGGAAAATAAGGTCTATATTTTAAGCAAATTTACACTCGTGTAATAATTTAGTTTGTAATTTAAACAAACCAAAAAAACAGAATACACAAGTACCAATCATTTAAAAAAATGCTAGCCACAAAAAAAAAAAGATGAAAAAACATAAACCAAACTGGCATGTGAATGGAGGACAGACAATGCTCACTGATCAGCATTCAAGAGTGCTGGTTCACTTTCTATGTTAGGGATTAGAAGTCTTTTTATCAAACTTGAAAGTAGTATTTCAGAAAAATTTGTTTTCTGAAGAGTTGTGTTACTTCAGTATTATTGTTTTTATGTGCCATTCAGTCGAGTAAAAAAATCCACTCATAGCTGACCCTCTGGTAGGTTTTCAGAAGCTGTAAATCACAAGGAAGGAGAATGCCCATCTTTCTCTTGCAGAACATCTGGTGGATTCACACTGCATGCCTTTTGGTTGGCAGGGCAAAGCCTTACCACGAGGCCATTTGAATTGCCAATTCATTACCCTTGTTTCAATCTGTATTCATAGCTGTAGTATTCAGTGATACTCTGTGTGGCAGTGCTTCTCAGATTTTAATGGAAACACAAATTACCTGGGAATCTTATTAAATAACCACAGCATAATTCAGTGGAGTGGGGCCTGAGATCTGCATTTGTAACAGGTCCCAAACAGATGCAGCTGCTGGTTGTCTATCATTGCATTTAGTAGCTAGATTCAGTTGAGTCCAAGCATTTACTGAAATACATATAACTTTTAAAAATTATAATTCATGTCTTACTATATCTTAGTAGGAGCATTACTGTTGGAAAAATATGAATGTAAGTTTATTACAAAAGATTACTTTAGGATGGCAATGAAGAAGTTGTAAAATACCTTCTATAAAAACAAGATATAGGGTCAAGAACCATTGCCCTGGAGGAATTCTAGCAAAAGTACTTAAGGAAACATAGACAAGAATATTATTCAACAGCAAACACTTGGGACCAACAAAACTGATCATTAACAAAAACGTAGTATAATCATGAAATGGAGCACATACTATATAACAATAAATGTGAATAAACAGAAGCAATTCCCATAGTTAACTTTTCTAGGCTTCACCTATTGCATCTGTAGTAAAATCAGAAAGGTACTTCTCATTTTCATCCTACAAAGCTCATTTTGAGAGGAAAACGGACCAATGTATATGAGGAATTTATACTAGGTAGCAGGAATTCTTGACTAATAAGATCAATTTGTTTCTATGTTCTTGTCATCACTGATTCAAATGATACAAACCAGTCTTAATTGGGAAAAATATTGAGTTATCAATTCCTAAATGATTGCATATAAGATAAGTGCTATTCGTTAGAAGTATGTTTCGTTACACCAACTTTTCATGAAGGAATTGAATACTACATTGAAAAGTACCCTCAATCAGCTTTAACAAAGCAAGAGTAATCACTGCTTATATTTCTCATTTCCCAATCTGTTGTAAGCAGGTGCATGTTTTATTAGTCCTGTGTTACAGACGGAGAAACTGACTCATACATAGAACTTGCCTGGAGCTGAAAACCAATTCAGTGACAGCACATGAAACAGGCACTAATTACCTAGTTTTTTCCTCTGTTCATTAAGCTACTAAAACCATTATTTTGCCAAGATGCTTTATGGTAGTTCTGGCTGTCATGGAAACAAAATTCTTAGTTGTCATTTCATACAGTTTTCAAAATGGCAAATATACTCAAAAACACTTGCTAATTATAGCACTACACACCAAGAGACAGAGTTAAAACTTATTAAAAAGCTGCTTATCTTTGCCAATTGACCATACTAGTAGAAGAGTAGGAGCAAAGAGAAGTAAAAACACGGTTCAATTCAGTACCTCTGGATCTCAAATATCTTATGACAAAAATTTTATTACTCTTAAACACTTGAAATATAGTTACCTCACTGATCGTTTAAGTAAAGCCAAAATCAAACAAAGAAAAAAAATTATCAAAAGGCAAAATTGGGTAGGACCAAATTATAACCTTGGCGATCATGACAATTATTAAAATACTGGCCATGATGACATAGATATCAGACATTTCATTCAATTGATTTTATGTTATAAAATTATTGAAAGGCCATTTTAATTTCCCTAGTAATAGACAGATGTTATTATAATATGTACCAGACTTTACTTAGTCATTAAGTGTTCCAAATTCTGACACAAGATCTACAATATTCTTGTTTATTAGAAGCTTTGAAAAAAATTTATGAAATCAGTTTACAGAGTTATATGTATATAAGTAGGAATATCTTGTATAAACTAATAAAAAATATTTAAAGGTCACTCTCTCCGCATCCCGTTATTTATCGTTTTGCTTATCAAATCCATTGCAGCCTGCCTTAAAGCACTGGGTTTGGGGTGGTTTTTTCTTGACGTGTTATCTGATACTGGCAAAGAATCTCAGGATGGCTCTGATCATCTTTCTAAACCAACAACAAAAAAGAATTCACCCCAAGAAATCGAAGTTAGCTGCCTCTTTTATACAAAATCCCTCCACAGGAAACAATTTAATTTGACAGAACTCTGCTTCAGGGTCAAGAAAATGCCAAACAAAAACTCTCTAATTCAAAAGTGATACCTAAGGAGCCCACCTCGGAGTTCGAGACCAGGTAAGACTAAAGTTTAACTGACTCCGGCAAGAGAGCCCTCCACAAACGAGCGCAGAGTAGATTCCATCTAGGATCGAGGCTGGCAGAGGCGCGAGCAAGCACGAGAGCTGCTCCGGGGTACCCGCGCACCCCTCGGCGAGTCAGGGACCGGCCCTTCCTTCGCTTTACGCCCACCCGGGAATTAAAAGCCGCGAAAAGAGACCACCTTCCACCCTCCGCAAGGACCTTCGCCAGCCCCGTCCAGTCTGTCCTCCCAGCCCCCCGACTCCGACCCGCAGCGCCGATCGCCGGTACCCTCCCACCCTCCCTCGCACTTAACGGCCAGAGGAGCGTCTCGGACCCGCAGACTCCGTCCGGGGAGGCTTCCCCGCCTTCCTCCCGCGCCGAGAACAGATCCCGGTCGCCAACAACAAAGACGCCTCCCGCTCCCCTCCCCCGCCGCCCGGCCCGGCCCTCCCGCGCTGCGGCTGCGGGCCGAGCGCCCCCTTCCCGAGCCCGGCCGCGACCACAGCCGCAGCGCCCCGCGCCCCACGCACCTGCACCTGAGAGCCGGGGCCGAGTCGCCGGGCAGGATGGGCCGGAGAGAGAGCCTCGGTCTACACGCTGTCCTCCAGAAGGCACTCCCGCCGCCGGAGGATGCCCCCGGCCGGGGGGGTGGGAGCGAGAGCTGCAGCCCCCGGCGCCGGGACAATTAAGGACGGTGGCGCCCGAGGGGGCCTGGCTCGCGTTCCGGAGTCCCGGCTCGCACTGGCCCCGCTCCTCTGCACGAGCTCGCGTTCTGCTGACTAACGGCCCGATCGCGAGGCGCTGGAGCGGCCGCCGCCGCCGGCTGCTCTCGGGCCTCACGTCCCGCGCGGCCGTGGTCGCAGCCGCGGCTGCCACCTCCCTCTCTGGCACCGCAGAAACAACCCAAATCCAGCCAGGTCTTTCTTCTCTAATACTCCTCTCTCTCTCCGCTCCTCTTCAGCCTGCCAACTGCGGGACTAGCTTCCGTAAAGGGAGGGAGGCTCGGGGAGAACCGAGGGGACGAGCAGAGTACCCACCGCGCTGGGAGTTGATCACTGACTAGAGGAAGGTGCCAAAGCTGACCCAGGTTCCAGCCTGCGAAGGGGCGGGAGGAGGGACCGAGCCCAGCTAGTCCGGTTTACACCAATCACAAGCAGCTGAACAGAGTCCTTGGCGTTCGGAGCGCCGGGAGAGGCCGAGCCGACTCGGCAAGAGGCGGGGATTGCGGAAAAGAAGAGCCAATAGGAGAAAAGCCTTTCCGTCCCTCGAGCTTGATGGATGCCCACGTTCGGGCCAATGGGGCAATTCTCATTTCGAAGAAAGAGGTACTTACTCCTTTCATTTACGAGAGGCTGCCTGGAAATGGAGTGGTTGAGGCTAGGCTTTGTGGAGAAATCCCGACCGAGCCTAGGGTCTGAAGGATGTCCTTTGACCTCCGCGTGAAGTCTCAAGGGATGACGGGAGGCGGAAAAGTCGGAAAGATTACTTCCGGGTCATGACAATTATAAACTGTGGGGCAGCACTTGAAAGATAGCGAGTGTCTTCGGCGTGAGGTCGTGGTTACCACAATGAGTTCCCAGAAAGGGAACGTGGCTCGTTCCAGGCCTCAAAGGCACCAGAATGCGTTTAGCTTCAAAAATGACAAGTTTGATAAGAGTATTCAGACCAAGGTAGGAGCTTGCCTGTTGCACTGAATCTGACTGCAGGAAGGAATGTTCAGTGGAAGGGGAAGACAGAGGAAAAGAGTTGGCGAGGGCGAGTGTGGACCTCAGCCCGGAGTTAGTCTTGATTGCAATGCAGTCTTTTCTAAAAATGATATTCCCACGCTATTTATTTTACCTGAATAAGTACTTTCTCGTAAATACGGTGGTTAACAATTCTATCATTAGAGTGAACGGTATACTGTCACACTTAATCTCTAAATTGAGAAGAGTTTTTGAACACTCATCAGGATCACATATTTGCAGTGAGAAAACAGTTGTGTCGCGAGTATCTTTAAAAATTTGCACTAGGTTTACACGCTAACTTTTCTTTTTGGAAAAACTCCCAATTCATAGTGGTTTCAAATTCAGTATAGAAATTAGAGTAATTCAGAATAGAAAGAGTAAGCATTCAGTATCTTAAATAACAATTTCTCTTTTGAAAAAAATTGTTGAAATTATTTGATTAATGTAAAAATTGTTTTCCGTTTATGGGTTAATTACTAGATTTTTCTGTAAAAACTTGCAAGAGAAGTAAATGCACATTTGTGCTCCCTCTTACACTCTTATCAGGAAGACAGGAACAGTCAGGGCACCATGGTCATCAGTTAACCTGATAACCATATATGAAAAGAGGCGTGTGGCCTTGAAAAAGTTATTACTGTTTCGTCTTCTGTACTTATTTTTGTCTCCAATGAAAGATCGAGAATTGTTTGTAATAGTAAACGAAACTTGGTCTTTTATAAAAAATCTGGATCATACTAAGTGTTCAAACACTGATTAATTTTCAGCATTAAGAAAGCAAACGAATTTGTTTATGGTAAATTGTGACCTTTTTCTTTCCTCTTTCTGACTTTTTTCACTTTACAAAATTTTCGTGAACACTAATTGCGATTGAAGCTGTTTGTTCATCGTGCACAATGCCAGAAATGGTTAACTCTACCTTCACAAAACTTAGAATACTCTTCTGGGCCAAATTAATGGCATGCAAATAGAAAAAATAGATAATTAAAATTTTTGATAAATGATGGTGAGGGGAAAGACAGTTTTGTAAGGAGGAATGAAGAGTATTTTAAGTTGGATGCTCAGATAACCTTTTCCTGTACTAGAACACTTTCAGAAAGAAAACTTTGAATTACAGTTATGAAGATTTTCCCAAGTTTGTGCTTACTGTTAATAGATAACGGAATAATAAAGTGGTTCTATGCACAATCTGCATCTTAACCTTAAGCTTTTGTGTATTTAATTCTGATTGTTTATCATTAGCCAATAGAAATAGTTTAAGTATTTAACTATAGGGTGTTTTTTCTCCGCTCTCGGACTAAGAATTCTTGAATTTCTTATTATACTTTCTTGGTATCATCATCTGTCGTTCTGATCAGAAATATTTTAGGGAGACTCAGTTTCAATCCCAAGTTTCATTTTGCTTATCACACTTAATTCCTTTCCTTTTTTTTTAAAGTCATGGATAAGTCTCATTCATAAATTAATAGAGCCACTGGGTTACTGTCAGTTCTGAGAAAAGCAGCAACAAGTGTTTTCCTAATTAAAGAAAATTTAGATTGTCATCTGCTTGATGATAAACTAATAATTGACTATTTACAGGAGATTCTTGAATTGGTTCTGTTGCAGCTGTAAGAGCTAAAATTTTGTCAAGTCTGGCTTACCCTGTCTTCATGTTTATTGCTTACATTAGAAAGTTATTTCCTGCAGTAACATCTAACAGAGAATGATCAAAAAAGTTACATTTCTGTGTAACTTCTCTTGCAGGGTTGTAGAAACGATTAACTCCCTTATTCTTAGTAGTGATGGGAATCCTGCTTGATCTCTTGTTCTTTCTGGGGCAGGCAGTTTTACAAAACTGAAGTTATAAGTTATTGACAGATATTTTATAAAGAAGTTTGTCTAAGTGGAGTACTCATTCCCTAAAAGATGGAAGTGATAGTTGTCTTCATATACTTCAGTATGGTTTAGAAGAAGAGAGAAGCTTCTTTTGTAACATTCCAGATGGCCAAACTTGGACCATGTTGTTGTTGTTCTTGTTATGTACCGTGGAGTTGTTTGCGACTCATAGTGACCCTATGTACAACAGCCCTAAACCCTGCTCTATCCTG